GAGCTGAAATAATATATGGACCTTATTTAGTTAAAAGGAGAACTCATACAGGGTGTTCAATGTATATGTACAGATTTGACAATGAACATGTATTGGAACGTGTAGACATGTTAAAGAGTGAGAACAAGGTCATAAGTCGTGTTGGAGCTGGTAGGCTGCTTATATGTGTCGAGGACGACTCTAGATTTCATGCCAATTAGTAGGAAATCAAAAGCCTTACATACCTTGTTGTACCACCTTGTAGTTACCTTGAAGTACCTTCGTTTCTTTTCAAATACTTATCTACAATAGAGTAGGTGATAAATTAGTATTAGTAGTTACTAAACATGTTTAGGCAGTCCAATCTCACTCAACAATAATGCTCGGTCACCAAACCCGTAATTACCAAACTAAGGTTGTTCTGTCAATCCGCTCCTTCTTTTATTGCATTTGTACACTACACAACTATATTTCAATATCAGCAATTTACACCCTTTCCAGAAATCAACCAAGTTGTCCCCAATATGTTTATACATCAACCTGTCCCAAAAACAGTCCTAACAATCCAACATACAATAGAGGACGTGAAACCATAGTTTCCCATCATCATCCCACGAGTTCTTATCAACAATACACTTAAAATATCATACTTAGACTCGTGTTTAAGGAAGACAAAGATAGGGCAGTCACTTTACCTTAATTCTTATAACTCGTTTTTCTTTTAATTTCAACTCTTCAATAACTTGAGCTTCCCTTCACATAGGCCAAAGAAAAAGAGAAAAGCCTCTCAATAACAAAGGAAAGTGAGCAATTAAACTTTTGACATATTCAGTCCTCTACTTGTTCTTAACTAATTAACATGTTTATCTAGCATTCCATGAGAGAATTCAGCTAAATCCATTAGTAATTCCACTTATCTTACCTTGCAAGGGCTTGGGTTTATCCAAGAACCCTTGGAAACTTGTGGTTGCTGCTATGCATTGAAAGAGAGAGGAGAAGCTTAGAGAGAAATCTGATTTTTATCTATTCTTAAAAGTCAGGAAATGGCAAGCAACTTGGGGATTATAAAGGTCTTACTTTTCCCCACCTCTTAAGTTTTAATATCAGCCACTAATTTGTTAAATAGGTCCAAGTAGGTGATGCACTTGCTTGGAATTATATATACACAAAATGGGCCCTTGATGTACTCATCTTGGGCTGCAATCTTTCCCCTTTCTAATATTAAGCCATGGGCCAGAATTATTCCCTTAATTTGGGCCTTAGTCTTTATTGGGCTCAAGTAGTTGGACTTGGACAGATTGGTGTGAGGCCTCATCTCCATTCCCTTTTCCTTTTATTAATTTGGGCCTCAAGTGAGCCCACTAATGCATGAACTAATCTTCCCCATCTACCGAACTCATTTGAGCTAAGCAAGTAAGTGACACCAGCTAGCTTTATAAAGTCCAACAAGCACCTCAATTCTTTTATTCATTTTCCGAGCGTAATCTCCTTAGTTTAACTCAAAACTTATATACAATTGATCTCCTTAACTTTTAGACTTACATATAGCCCTTCGATCCAAAATTTTTAATGGAATGTGAGGCGTGACATGCTTGATATACATAAGCAGCTAGATCACCTACTTGACCAATTAGTGGCTGAAAATGAAGCTGTTTGCTCGATCGTGCAATATTACAATGTACGGGAGTTAACCCTTACAGCTTCTTTATTTTCACCATTCATCTAGGAAATCAAGTTCATTACTTATACCTGGATGAAATTCTTAAAGGAGAAGAAAGATCAATATAAATATATATTGGGTGCTATTATCACTCATTTTAACACACATTATTGAGGATTAGCTCCAGCTCTTTTTCTCTTAAGCATTAAACATCAGCCTTAAAGTTCTTCTAGGGTTCTTGAAGAAACCCTCATCTCTGCAAGACAAGGTAAGTGAAAACACTTGTGGATTTATCTTAATTCTCCCATGGATGATTAGGAAAATATGTTATTCATGCTCAAGTATAGGTATAAAGGCATAATATTTCCAGAAGCTACTGCTCACTTCCTTGGTTATTAAGATACTTTTCTCTTCTTCTTTGGTTTAAGTGTGAAGGGAAAGTGAAGTTCTAGAGGAATTCAAGTTATAACGAGAAGTTGCAGAAATTGAGGTAAGGTGACTGCTCCATTTTCTTCCTCCTTATGTATGAGTTTGAGTGAAGAAATATAGGTGTGTTGTCATAAAGAACTCAAGAGGGTGGTGAGTTCAATAATTGGTTGTATGATAAAAAATATTTGAGGCTGTTTTATGTGTGTTGTTGTTGGTGCAGCTTGAGTAATCTTGGAAAATGATATATA